AAGCTTATACCTGAATGTTTAATTATATGTATAAATTTTTCTAATAATCTTATATGTTCTTCTTGTGTTTTAGAATATAATAGTATGTCATCTATGTATACAATGCAATTTTCTAATTGGTTAAAGTAGTTATCCATGAAATGTTGATATGTACCTGGTGCATTTTTGTATCCAAATGGTAATACATTCCATTCATAGAATCCTTGTGGTACTGTGAATGCTGTTAATTGTTTAGATTCTTCTTCTAATTTTAGGTGGTAAAATCTTGATTTGCAATCAAATTTACTAAAATAGTTGTATCCTTGTATTTGTCTTGTCTTTAATATTTTATTTGGTATTGGGTAGTTATATGTTTTAGTTTTGGCATTTAAATTTCTGTAATCTATAACCATTCTACTTTTACCTCTTTTTTGTCACTGTGTTTTATAACTATAAATGCTGGGCTTGTGTGTTTGCTATTACTTTCTTGTATGTAATTGTTTTTTAGTAGTTCATTTATATGTATTTTAAATTCTTGTAAATCATCAAAGTTATATTTTAATGGTTTTTGTGTTATTATACTATTTTCGTCTATTAATTCAATTTTTACTTTTGTCTTATGTTTTTCCCATCCTTGTAGTGGATCTTCATTATATAATTGTTCTAGTTGTTCATTAATTATTCTGACTCTGTCTATTGTAAATATAATGATTTCTAATTGGGTTAATTGTTTTTCATTTATATTTTCCATTTCATGGTTTATTTTTTCACTACCTTTTATCCATTCCATAGATTTTCGTTGTTTATTTTTTACTCTTTTTGCTCCTATTTTATTGTCACATGGCGTAGTAAGCCACCAGTGTGTTTTTGTTATTATATGTGTGTAAAATTTGTCTAGAAATAGCATTCCTAGCAACATATCTTTTGTTGTGAATTCAAAATTATAGATTTCTTCTATTGTTAATATTTTATCCCATATTTGTATTTTTATATTTTTTGCTTTATATTAAATCATACTTCCTTCATTATTAAATCATGTTACTACCATTGGTGTTTTTAATTTTTCCCATTTATCTCCTGGTAAACAATTATATTTACATATATTTGCTTCTGCTCCTGTATCTATCATAGGGTATAATATCTGTTGTGATATCCTTCTATGATAATTTTTGCGAGTATATATATTTTCATTATTCATTTTGTTCTTTTTATGATTATCTTCTTATTTTGACATGTTATTGTTAATTGTTCGTTTTCTATATTATGTGGTTTAACTTTCTCTAGCCATTTTATTCCTAACGTGATATTATGGTTTCCTTGGTATATCTTAAATTGTATTTTTTAATGGAATTCCTCCTATAATTATTTCTTTTTCTGTTGTTTCTTCATTTGTATTTACTATTTCACTAGGTAATCCAGGGCATATGTGTCCTGTTTTTATAATTTCTTCTTCTAATACTAATTCTCTTGTCATATGATTTTCTTCTTGTCCTGTGTTTATCAAGATTTTATATTTTTTTTGGTCCATTATTCCCGTTATAAAATAATGATATGGCGTCGTTTCCTCTAATAAATTTTGTGGTATTTCATATTTTCTTTTAGATGTACTCATCCTTGATGAGGTAGCTCTAGTCAACATATTTAATGTGCTTGTATTTGGTGTACTTGAGGTGCTTAATCTTTCTTTTACTATTTCCAAATCTCCTTCTGTATCAATTTCTTTATAGCTATAGTCATTATTATCTATTACAGTAATTATTTTTTCAAAAGGATTTTCTATTTTTATCTTATCAATTTTATTCCTTGAGCCATCACGAGATAATTCCACGGAGACCTAAAACATCCAAAAGAAGTTTCGCAACCAATGGGAGCTATAACTCATATAACCCCATGGCTAGTCAACAATTATGTTAGAAGAAGTTGGGGCAATACTATATGGATGAAAAATAGTCATGCTGAGAATGACTAATTTGAGAAGCAACTGGGACAAAGAAAGTAGCATCATGACATATTTCTGGTGACTACTTCCTCATATCTATTTTGTTGTAGCACCATATATCTTTACAGTGACTATTTTCTCATATATATAATTTGTGTAGCACTCTGCCATCTTTCCGAGGACTACTTTCTCATATTAAATTTCTGTAGCACCACGTGTCTTTCTGGTGACTACTTTCTCATATTTAATTTGTGTAGTGCATATTTTCGATGACTACTTTTTTATATTTGATTTGCATAACACCGTGCATCTTTTGAGTGACTACTTTCTCATATCAGATTTGTGTAGCATCGTGTATCTTCCCATACTATGTACTCATATCTGATTTGTGTAGTTCCTTGTGTCTTTCTGGTAACTCCTCAAATGTGACTTACGTAGTTCCAATTTTGGTCAATGTTGTGCGAAATCCAACACTACCCAACAAAATCTGGCGACTAAAGCCCAACCAAAGTCGTCGATCCCCGATCCTTCACACGTGACTAGATCCAGGGTTTCAGCAACCACATCAATAGCACACGTTAGTGCGTGAGCTTGTCTGACCAACTTTTTGGCGACTTTTGCATTCAATATCGACTTGACACTTTATTCGAAGACGATCCATATATTTTTTACCAGATTTTAAGAATTTTTCAGTATTGATGCACGGTGAAGAAGTTTATATGGAACAACCACCTACTTTGGTTACTTAGAGGAGTTTAGTGACCCCATTTGTCGATTGCATATGTTATTCTATGGTTTGAAACAATATTCTCGAGCTTGGTTTGGGAAGTTCACCAAAACAATTCATGAGTTTGGCATGACTTGTAGTAGAGTAGTAGAGATGAACCCTCTATGTTTTATTGACATTATATATCATATCCAGTTTTTCTATGAGAGGGCTAAGCACATTGACGCTGATGAAAAAATACTCTCAGAAGATATTGTTACAACATTGTGAAGTCAAATGATCATCTTGTATATATCTTCACCAAGTCACTCACTATTCCTCGTATTAATTACATCTATAACAAGCTAGGTACATATGACTTTTATGCACCAGCTTGAGGAGGAGTGTTAGAATAGAAATAGAACAAAAATAGTATATACAATCCTACTTAGAATAGGAACAAGAATAGTATAAACTCATACTTGGAAAAGGATAAGTATATATAATCCTACTTGAAAAAGAATTGTATTATAGTGTCGATAAATAGGGTCTCAGCGTAATTATGTAGCGACCTAGTTCAATAATTTATTTTTCTCATATACTTCTCACAGTATCAAAGCCAGGTTCATCCTCTTTCAGGTTCCCAATCCATGCTCCAGTTGGGCTTGGGCATGAAGGCTTGTTAGTGTGAGTAAAAGTCCTTTCATTGGTTGGGGAATGGATAGGTGATTTATATTAACTTAGCAATCCTCCCCTCATGAGCTAAGTTTTGAGATAGAGTTAGGTCCAAAGGTCATATCTCTACAAACATTAACTAGTGCATTCAGTCGTCACGAGTGTACCACACATATACCTAATTGGGGGGAGAGAAAGAGGGATAATAGAGGATTTGGAGCACTAAAAAAGTGACCTACCAAAGCATTTTAACACACTAGAGCATTTTATGATGTTTTTGGATAGATTTCAGTGATTAAATGGTATCATTAACATCAAAATCACATTGGATTCTTCAGAATTCATCAAATTTTCAAGAATCACTACAAATTGGATTTCTGGGGTGGTTGGAATTTTAAAGGGTAATCTCACTACCACACTTTCGTTTATGATGCTTAAATAAGTATGTATAAGGTAATTTTCTGAGTAGCACCTATGGTTGAATTGAAGTATCGATGAACCATAGGAATGGATATAAATGAAGGTTGTCATGTTGGTTGGAGAAAAAGGTGACTATTAATTGGTTATTGTAGTCATCCAAATAGATACAATAGTCTATTTAATCAAGGGATTAATTGGTGAATCACGACACCATTCATGAACAATCAGGGACTTGGATGACTTGAAGACTAATGGATATGAAATGATACATCTAACTATATTCAAGTACATATTGTTGAGCATTTGGACTGTCAATTGTTGAAAAGCTAAGGCTACATCCAAGATAAGTTGAGATACACCTTCCTTGAGTCTTTTGTCCAAAAGCATGATTCTAAAGATGTACGAAAACGTTTTAGAATGTGAATGTATGTTGGAAGGGCCAAGCGATCATCAAAGTTATGCCTTAAAGTGCAACTATAAGTATGAAATGATATAAAAAAAAGATATTGTAATTTTGACTCAAAGTAAGAATTTTTGGCATCTTTGTTGTCTTTATAAATGGCATGACTTTAATACGAGCAATATGAGACCATAGAGGAGAAGAGTGTAAAATAAAAATGTTTTTCTTGGCAAAGAAGAAAATATTATCACCTCAGTTCATCAGTGTGCAGTAGCTTTCGGCTTCCTTCAATTGTAGAGCTTTTGTCTGGGGTTTCATAAAGTAGTGTACTATCATCGGGGACAGAAAAGTTCCATTTGTGGAATGTTGCAACCAGAACCTGGCACATTCTTGTGAGAGGACTTCCCCCAGGATTTTGAATTCTGTAGAGTGGTGTACCAAAAAAGAAACTTGCAATGGCAATCCCCATAAAAACTGTAGGGATGAAAAACCCGAGGCCCTATCCAGCATTTTCTTGAATCCACACAATAAAAGTGCTTGACATCAAAGCTCCAATGTTGATAGAGAAATAGAACCAATTGAAGAAGGATCCCTTCTTAACTCTCTCTTTTGGATCTGTGTCATCAAATTGATCCGCACCAAATGACGATACACATGGCTTAATCCCACCAGTTCCAAGAGCAATCAAATAGAGGCCAAAAAAGAATATGGCATACTGGGCAGGAGTTGCTGAAGGGCACACAGAACCCACACATTCAGGGGGCTTAAAAGCAGGAACTGAAGCTGATAGTGTCAGTGTACACATTCCCTATACAGCCAAGCAACAACACAAAAAGCATGAAATAAGAAGTGGAATTCCAACAAGAAGACATGTATTTACTGTCTCACTTAAAAGGTGAAAATCACAGTAGCAAAGGGGAAATAGGTCATTACAAAGTTAGGGTTCGGGTTCACAAGACAAGACATGTATTTACTGTCTTTTTTTAAATTTGCTATATCAGTTGTAAAGATGAGATCTTTAATGAGTTCAACCATAAGAGTTCAAAAGAGGAAAGACACTGAGAGCATAGCTACTATCTTTCTTCCTTATCAGATTCTTATATTTCCCCAACTTAAGTTTGTCTAAAACTTGGCAAATATCATATACTTCACAAAGTTGTTATATGTTCCATATAATGAAGTTGATAGCTAACTTTAAACAGTAATAGAAGACTGCGCACACTAGACCCGTTTAGTCATAGTGCACTGGTCTTCCTTTTGCAAATGAATGATTATAAGGTAAAGTAGATCTCTTTGGATCTATCATAATAGGAAATTGTCACTTAAGCAGTTATCTAGAAAAGTGGCTCTAACTTTCTCAAAGTTGCCAATGAGTACATGATGGATTTTCCAAAAGAAGTGCATTTTTTGGAGTAACCGACACTGGTGTGGCAACTGTTTTGGAGAATTCGTGCAAGATAGGCAACAACAATAGACAAACCAGGTCAAATTATTTAGTACCATAGTTGCACCCACCAATTATAAAAGAAAAGAAAAAGGTTAAATATGTATCACTTCTTTTTATAGTTAAAGTCTAACTAGGCAGTGTGCCGGAGTGACTAATTTATTCCAAACCAATAGAATAGGCCAGGTCATTTCTCCTTTTTACAGCTTACCTTAAGTTTGAACTTGCAAAAATTAAGTAGAGCAAAAGCATTTTAGAATTTATACTGGATACTAAGATTCGTATACACCATGTGAGAAAGGTAGAAATGCTGATGTAGAATGATAAAAAAAATCGATACACTGCTGCCTTGCACATCGCTGAACCATAAAATTGTCTGTTTCCATCGTCCTCTAATGTCATTCATGTTGCATCTTATGTTTTCCAGGTACATGAATTTACTTAAATTGACCACAACTATAACAAATAGTCAGCACCTCGGCATTCACTCACTACTTCCTAACGGTTTTTACGAGTAGGAAGGATTGATATCATTGATACCAGATGTGGATATCCATCAGAATGCAGGCCAGTGTTGTGAACGGCGAGAGGCGACAAAAGGCGACAAGGGCCTGCCTCGCCACACGGCGAGGCGAGCGGCGAGGCGCTTGCCTTTTTGAATAAAGGCGCCAATTAATATCAAAAATTAAAAATATTTAATTGCATATTTTATCCAAAGTCTTAATAGCAATAACACATATTAGCAAATATTCAATTCAAAAACCAATAGTAGATACT